ATTTTTGTTATATTTGACCTTATTATGTAGTCACAAGGACATAATACTCCTAATACTATAATATACTAAGTTCATATATGTTATCTAAGTTGTTTACGAAATTGCAGTTCGACAGGATTAAATCTAAATTTAGTTTAGTGTGTCCAACAAGAATTACTGCCAGTGTAATGATAAAGTTGTTTTTGTAAATGTTGTTACTCTATAATAAATATAGTCTTTAAAAGGTAATTAAGGTTCCATTTCTTTATGGAAAGCTGAACGGAAAGAGTTTTGTTAACACCAACTAGGTTAAGAATTAAATTTTTGACTTGAATGGCATCAGTCATAAGCTTATAACTTGTATTTTTTATTGCGCAGTGTATTAAATTGTTGAGTTTGTTTTGAACGTTTTCTGCATCGAGGTTTTTATGTCAACGAACTCCAATGGAAATGTTATTGTACCTAGTTAGGTAACTTTTATCGCCTCGACTTGCTTTATCTTTGTTATAAACATATTTACTTTAAAAGCTGTCCGTTTATTTTTAAAGGAGTTTTATTTGTACTGAACTAAGTCTGATCCCATTCCCAACATCGAAACGATAAACAATAACGTATGTTATTTTCCTAGCACATGTCCAGGTTTTTGTGGTGTCCTGTAGAGGTTTTAAAGCAACATACCGGGTTTTATTGAGGCGGCTAGATAAGATCATGTAAAAAATTCATGTGACGGTATCGCAATACTTAAGTCACGAATTTTAACACTGCACGGCGGGATGTTTTTGTTTTTGGTTGTTAAAACTAATGCGTCAGTAATTACTATTAACTCTTTGCACAGATTTTTATTTTTAGAGAAAAACAATTATTTTTGTGAATTGGTTATTCCTAAGGTATAGTTATTTAAGGTTATGTCCGATTTTTGAATGTAGGGTAATGGGGGGGTCGGTGAGAAAAGTGCAAAATTATATAAGAAAATTTATATTTACATCAAACATAGCTTTAAGAGTTTTTGGCACAATCTAGGAACAAATAATATTAATATGGAGATGCAGCTTGTCCAAAAAACATTTTGAGACGTAATAAGCAATAATAACCGTAAGGAAATATATTGTTTTGAGAGCAAAACAAATTATTTTTTGTGGTGATCCTCAAAACAAGATTTTCCCTTGCGGTAACATAAGGGTACTCTACATATTTTACAACCCCAAACAGTTCGAACAGGCTCTTTTTTGTACTGCACCTGCTGCAACGCCTGGAAGTACCTCGTACTGGTAGATGATTGGCGACAGCTAATCTAATAGATTGGGGAACTTCGGGTTTGTGTCTCTTTATGGAAAACAAACTTGGGCATGGGGAATTTGTTTTTGATTTACGTGTCACAAAGTTTTTATTGCTAACATAAGCTGGCGCCAACATGTCTTGGTATACTTTACGTCTGAAATCTTTCAGACAAAGTTTATCAAGACACGTATTTGGATCGTTTTTAAGATCTTTGTAAAGTATGAATGCATTTACAACTGAACAGTCTAGAAAATGGAAGAATAAGCGGTGCCACCATTTTTTAGACTTTCTATCGATTGCGTAGCTCCCTTTCAATTGATCAAACTTATCAACGAAGTTCATATTGTCATTGTAATCTTTGATTGCCGCCGGACAGTTAATTTCAATAGCATCGCCATTTCTTTCGCGTCTGGTAATTTTAACGTTAATCTTAGGGTCATGGAAATTCGTCAACAACAAATAAACACACCGCTTATCCTTCCATTTCATGAAAGATACCATTTCATTATCGCTGATACGATAATCAGATTGACCATGTTGCAGTTTATTGTCTGCATTTAGTTCTGGTAGGTGTTTTCGAGAAGCATTGACAGTTCCGCAGGCATAAATTTTCTTCTCTCGTAACTCTTTTTGCAAGGCATAACCATTGAAATAGTTGTCAAAATACACACGGTGATTTTTACCTACCAGGCTCTCGCAAAACTTCTTAACAACTTTGCCTCCTAAATCTGCCTCTACTTTATCACCAGCTTTGCCAATATAGATTGCAAAGTCAAGACAATAGCCAGAAGCAGCACACTTAGTCCAAACCTTATAACCGCGTTGAGTTGGCTTTTTGGGCATGTACTGCTTGAGAGAACTCCTGCCTTTGAATTTCACCATTGACTCATCTATTGCAATTTTATCAATAAATGGTCTAATTTTGTACAGCTTATCGTAATTAGGGTCTGTTCTATTTAGAATCAAGTTGTTGTTTTTCAAATGCAAGTTTCCTAAGATCCAAGAAAATTTGTCAAAGGCATGAATGACGAAATGTATTCATCTCGTAAGTCGGATGAAGAAGACCAGAAGTCTCTGTAACTTGGGCTCTTTTTTATTCCCATCACCAAATTGAGAGCAATGAATACTTTTCTTCTTCCGTGACAGGTTTATAAGTTCCACCTGTCTGTTCTGCGTATAAGTTAGTGTGAAATATAATAAGTTATATAAGTTCTTTTGTCCAAAATAATTGAAAAATATTCAAAAGAGATAGTTCTTTTTTAGCAGCTACAGATAACAAGTCACTAGGTAGGTAATTTACGGAGGTATAATCGTCAGGAGGTGAAATCGAGTAAGATTTTTTCCATTATGGAGCTTGTATATCAGTCCTCGCAGTAGATGGTCCTGGTTGTGGTGCTGGGGTTGTTGACAGAGGTAACATTTGAGAGGAAGATATTCTAGCTAACGGAGTGTCATCTTCTGGGTCAAATTCTGAATCAGGTGTTGTACCTGGGAAGTTATCCCCGAATAAAACATCGCCCATAGTGGTACCTTCAATGATGACCTCATTTTCATCACCCGAACTATTACCGCCCACATAGCTATCGGCATCAGATGGTAAAGCATTCTCGATTTCCAAGTTTGATAATTCTTTTCTCTTCATTATCTCAAACAATAACATCAAAATAAAAATACTTACTTGTTAATGAAATAAAAATCCCTTTACAGAACGGTGATTACTGCTGCAAACCACTTTAAATTAAGGGTTATGGACAAAAAGCATTTATATGCAAATGTTCAATTTATGCTTACTATTTATTATTAAACATATTTCAACAAATTAAGCGCATAAATAACTCATATTTATAAATGATTACTTACCAATTACGTAAAACACTCGTCGAACATCGATTTCAAATTTTACCAACTTTCGTCTGAGAATTTAGTTTTCACTCGAGCCGTCAAAGCACTAACCATTGGCGCTGTTCAAATGCTACATATTCATACTGGACTTAATAATACAAACTAGGGTCGTCAGAGGTTTCGCGGAGCGTTGATGGATTGCCTGGTGTCTGTTGCGCATTCCAGGATTGCGTGGGTGATGGTTTCTTCTGTTGATATATTTCCAAGATATATTTTGAATATAAGTTTTAATAGATTAGATGCTAATAATACAATTGTTTAAGGTTAAAAATCAGCTTATTATTCGATTTTTTCTCTATGCCTCGAGACTGTGTGTCGTGGTATCATCAGTTTCATCAATAACCCTTTGTGTTTAACTACTTAATGTGTTGGATGTTTCCCAATATTTATTTATCATGCTTTTTAATTTTTCAAACAGACACTTGTCTGTTATCTCGTTAGAAATTATGTAAGTTTCAGTAGGTACCTACAGGACGGGAGATAAAGTAAATATCAAACAGAAAACAATGTCACTATACATATATAAACATTATCATTTTAAATTGAATTTTAGTTAGAATGATAGCAATGGTGGTACACACAACACCACGCCAGGTTACCACAATACTTGTACCTATTTAAATTGTTTTTCAACTCTACCCTTAATGCATTAATGTACGAACTCAAAAGATTCTCTCTCTCTCTTATTTCAATGTCTTTAGTTTAACGACGGTTTATTGTCACATTTAATCTAAGATTTATATCTATTTACTAGTAGCCGTTTCCCGCGACTTCGTCGCTAATGATGTAGTTTCCCGTAGATGAAAGAATTTCCATGATCAGATCAGTATTTGCGAAAAATATCCCCTGCAAAGAAACAAAGTTACAAACCACTTAAAATACAATTATTATCCTTTTACTTTTATGATTACGTTTGTTTAATTACAAACACATTAAAATAAGTAAAATTTTCAAAATTCCGTTCAAAATATATATTGTTAAGCTGACCAGAAAATCTTCGATCGAATACATATGGGATTTCTTGAACATTAAGACAGTTAATGTTCAAAAAATCCCAATCTTCTTGTTTTAAAAATCATATTTCGATATATTGAAGTTGGTTTAAGTTTTTTATTTGTAAACACGATTGGAAAACATCCGAATCTCATAATAAAAATGAAAAACAACTATCAGATTATTCGAATATCCGTTTTTACTTTGAACGTATAATCTTACGAAGGAAACCAATGTTCATGTTAACCGAGTAGTTGTTTAAAACATGTATTAATTAATTAACGAATCAATTTGTCTATTTCAGCATTGGTATTTTCAAGTATTTTAGTTTTCCAGACGTTTTAATATCGAACAAGTAATGGCTATAGAAACCAAATACCAGAGCCAAATAAGAATGCTCAGGATCGAGTTAGCTACTAACTCCACAGCATTATTTTCATTTTTCGTCCTTATCTTACACATTCATTTTGAAGTTGAAGCGTAATTCGAAACAAGGTGGCAGTTTGAAAGTATTTGAATATATCTTTAAATCTGAAATGACATTGGATATTAATAGTATATTGACGCTAGAAAGTAAATACGCAAAACCAAAACTGATCTTCAGAGCAGAAAAACCTTGATTTTTTTTCGATAAATAATTCCTATAAACGTCCATGGTAACAAATAAGGTGTTCCTTAGTCAATTTATACAGAAATAAAATATATATTTTTTGGAAAAATCTAAAGATTTTCCATTCTAAATATCCATTTTGGTTTTGCAGGTTACTACGTGTTTGCTTTCCAGCGTCGATATGTATTTTTTCGAATCCTGTTAGCGATTTGTAAACAATATCGATATTTTTTTTAAGGAGTCCAACAACGGCGGTGTGTTTGGTTCGGTGGGCGCGTCTGGCGTTGAGGGTGGCGAGAGACGTGAGAGTGGTAAGCGCGGGCGCAGGCCCGGCAGGAAGGCACAGCTCGACAAACAAGACATGAAGGCTAAACTTGGTGAGTGTTCCTTTGGATTACATCACAGATACACATTAACTATACACATGCCTCATCCCATAGCATTGAATGAGACTCTCCTAACTTACTTGAGTCTTACTTTTGTCTTACTTGAGTCGACGCTAGATGCCGCAAGTGAGCAAGCAACGCTTAGAATTGGGCATGGCTATTCTATGGATTTTCGCCTAACGTCAATATACGGCGTTGATTTTTGTGTCTACTATTTAATGTAAGTTTATTGTCTTTATTTTTGTTTTAAATGATCAATCAACAAAAAACAAAACACCAAGAAAAAATGTTTTAAATAAAATAATTAAAAATTGTAGCCATTTACAACGCCATCTCTGCATAGACATTAATTATTTAAACCTTACTTTGGCTCTAAAATAGTGACGACTTCTAATTTTACGAAAACTAGATTAAATAACACTTTATTTCATTTTCCGAGCTTAGAATTCTTTTTCTCTTTAAGAAATTATACTGGTTATTATATATTCTGGATTTTTCACAAATGATACATTGAACGCCGTCTATTGTGGATTTTAAGAACAAATATTTTTTACTAAGCATGAGTAAGACCCCGTATACTAATATTATAAAAAGGTAAATGTTTTAAAGTTGTTTGATAGTGCGTGATAATCTTTGGAAATACTGATTCGTCTCAAGAAAATTCTAACCCACACACGGTTGACACACATGTGTCTGAGCCATGTAACTGACCGAAGTTCAATTTATTTCCATGCAAACAATTGTAATAAAACTTTAAAATTCAACTACACGTTCACACGACTCCGGAGTCACGTCTCTCGTCACCGCGCCCCTAAGTAGTAATTATCTTACAACAATACTGGTGAAACCAGCTTTTCTTATTAAGCCAACACAAGTGACATTATTTTATTTCTTAATTCTGCTCTGTGAATAAATATTTTTTTTTAAATTAATTAGAAACCATATTTTGCAATTACTTATATAATATTATTAGTATATTCAATTATTACAAGTAGCTTAACGGATTAATAAAAAGACAAGAACAAATTTTAATTCTTAACAAATCACAAGTCAATCTTACGCAATTTAACTTTAACTTTTAAACGGTCTGTTATCGTAATATGTGAAACTAGCCTCGAAATATTATGATTTATTATAAAGCCTTTTGGACATTACAATAGCAAAATTTCTTTTTCAACGATGACAAATGAACATCGTATATTAAAAATAAATTTCAGAACGCAGTAGGCAGTCGGCTCGTGAATGCCGCGCACGGAAGAAACTTCGCTATCAGTACTTAGAGGAGCTGGTGGCGGACCGTGAGCGCGCAGTCATAGCTCTAAGGAAAGAGCTTGACAAGGTAATGTAGCTCTCTCCTTCTAGGTAATAAACCCTATTTTTGCATGTCGTCTTTTACCAAAACCTGTTTGTATCAAGGAGAACCCTAACCTTAGAAATTACACTTCCAGTTTATATGTAATAACTAGCGTTCCGCCAGCGCGTGGTCCTGTAATGAGTTGAGAATCCATTTCAAAATCACCCCCCCTATTTTACTCCCTTAGTGGTTGAATTTCTAAAAATCCTTTCTTCGTACCTTTCATGATGTGAATGAGCGATACTCATTCACATCATGAAAGGTACCATATTTCAAGTTTTTAGGTACAGTAGTTTCGGCTGTGCTGTGATAGTAAGTGTAAGGTTTACATTTTATATATACCTATAGGTGGGTAGGGAAATTTTTATTCGTCTGTTTGTTTGGTAGACCATTGAAGAACATCTATTTTGCGTAATCAATAAATTACGGCGATACAATAAGTTGAAATGTCGCATGACGTCATACCTTTGTACAATTTCCACATATGTAGCGAACCCCCACCTCTCAACTTTGATGCCGATTTATTTAAGATATTTTAAAATATCACTACAGGCAATAATTACACGAGACACATCAATTATGTATTTCTGTTTAATTGTTAAGGTCGCGGGCTACTCAACGAATAGTATGTAATCGGACACTGCATATTTACAAATAGAAGTAACCATTTTTGTATTTTCGATATACGCTCCAAATTTACTTCCACTCCGGAAGACATCGTTATAATAAAGCCGGTTTTACATAAATTCAACTCTGTTTATTTTGAACCGGTTTCAATTCTGTTTATTTTGAACCGGTTTATTTTGAACTCGGCTTTGTTACTATATAGCCATATTTTACTGTTAGAATAAATTTACATTAAAAAGCAAATAAAATTAAAATACTTTTATTTACAGTATTACAAATGGAATCTCGAGTTGGATCAGGGTCGTATGCCTGAGGGTATAGATGGGATGCTGCAGGAAATAGGAGTTATCAAGCAGGAGGAAGTGAAACCATTTTAGATGGCGACACTTCGAATATAACTATCTATATGTTGCCATATTTTGTATATCGTATTTGTACGATGCTTGTATTTACCTTATTGGACACTAACTTTAAATAGATGGTAGGCGATAAATTTTTAAATACACGTTAGATAGTTTTCCGTATTATGGGCCACGTGGAATGCTTAATACATTACATGACATGTTTTAATTTAGGGGCGTCCTATTCTGTTAATGATTGTACAATCGACAGAACATTAGGTTCTTCAAATCTATAATTATTTTAATCGATTCGATTTTAGACCTTAATCTGTTCAATGTTAGTTTCAAGATTGGTGTTATATGGTAACTGATGTGCTGCTGCGTATTTAAGCAAACAATTCCATTGTGCTCTGATGCGTGACCTATTAGGACACTAAAAAGAGTATAACATAATAGCATCATTTGCTTGCACAATCAATGCCGATTGTAGAGAAAAGTATGATAGTTTTATTCTGATTTTACCTACATAGTGTAGATTCAAAGATTATAATGTTGCCCTAGCGATGGTGAGATAATTGGACAGATAATTATGATGTTCAGATTAATAGATTGTGTTAAACATTTAACATTGGCCTAAATATATATATTACAATAGGAGTAAGTTAATTTGAAATCCCTTTAGAAAAACTTGTACGGTTAAATTCACAATAATGTTTGCTTTACAAGATGACATTTCAGTTATTAAATTTCAAAATAAAAATATGATACTGTTATTTTTTAAATTATATACTATGAAATCTAAAGTAATTTTTATGATTAATATTAAATTGGATATCAATGTTGTTAAAATTTATTTGAAAAAAAAAATATGTATATATAATATATTTTCCACTTTCGAATGTATTTTTCTACGTCTAATATCTGTTATCGCCATGATAATGGTAGTGTTTAATGTTGATATATATTTTAATAATTAATATGAACAATATAATATTGAATGTAATTGAAATTGTCAAAATTAAGATTTTAAAATATATGGTTGTAAACATAATTGTTGAAATGTTGTATGTTTATTTATTATATTATTTCGTGATTGTATTTTTACGCAGTACAATTAGCAGCAATGTCTCTTAAAGGGTTATATAATAAGAATCTAATTCTTTCATTCATTCATTCTAAAAATAATGTGAAGTTGATTATATTATAGTGTATTTATTTTTTATTGGTGATTACAAGTTGACGATATTATTAATTGTATGATAGTTTTATTTACTATTAAAATGTACAGTCAATATATAATTGTCAATCAATTGATTTTTCAAATTTTATATTACAGACGATTGCAGTTGACGTTTTGTAATAACCTGATTTGCTGTTGTGTGTACGAACACAGTTGAGATGTCTCTTTTAGATATACATTCTTGCATCAGGTTATCCATTATGTACTGTAAAATATTGGAGAAGTTAAAAGTCTCTTTGCAAAAAATTTACGTTTGTCTAAACATATAATCTATGTATTGTATTATATGGTCGTTATTAGAAATGTCAACATTATAAACGTTTTATTCCTTTAGGATTCTTGTTTTCATAAATTAAATTATTTTTAATTATTTTATAACAAATATGTCATGCAAGTTGCTGTTATTAAACATAACTTAAAAATGTATATAAAATTGCTTTTCTGTAACTAACACTTTTATTAATGTATAAAATAAACCTTTGCTAATAGTCATACACTTAGGTGATAAATAAGCGTATTAAAAAGTAAATAGCATTCTGTATAGTTGTATCTTAATAGAAGCTTCTAGATCTAAGCAGTATAAGTAATATCGAAGTCATCTAAGATGGACTCGTCAACAGAGTGATAAAAACATAGTTTCCTTTAAAAGTAAATTCATATAATAGCATATGTGATACGTTTGTGGTTCAGTGATGTTATAAGCGTTTGGGTAATTTTTGCAATTCAATTCATTTCAAACATAATAAAAATAATATCATATTATATAAAAGTATCGGTTAAATCGATAACTAGTTAAAACCTATTCCTGTGGGAACACTGTGATTAAAAAATATGTGTCACTAAATGTCTATATTAAATTCACGGTGAAAGAGGTTTTAAACTAGTCCAATATTTTTATTTAAAATGCCAATTATTTTTTGTTATATGTTTTTTTTGTTTACTTTAAATACAATATTAACTTTCGTTTTAGCACTATAATCATTAATTTGTTGCTATGATTGCTAATTTTAGATGTATATTATATGTTATATTAACTTAAATTTGATTTAAAAATAACATTCAATAAAAAAGTAGTTCTCAGTACATTAGTACGATTTAATAAGATAAATTACGAAAACATAGTTGTAAAAAAATTGCAAGTTTAATAACATACTAAGTAAAATTCATCATAACGTATTTTTATTAAGTAACAATACAAATATCAAGAGTGGTCTTAACTTTCTAAATTACAATAGAAGATTGTTGTATATATAATACGAATAGTTATGTATAGGATAACGTTTAAAAAATGTCTCAAGTCTCCAAACTTATCCTTTGACCATACAATTGAGTTACTGGACACGGACACCATAATAGACAACCATAACTGCATATTTCTATCAATATTTAGGTTAGATGATTATGAAAGCGACTATTGCGGGTAGAGTTTGAAAACTTGTTCATTTTTGTACCGGTTCGACTCGAGTAACTATTATTCATTAACCGGTTTAAAATGTCGTTCAGTTATTGACCTCACCAATTTTTCTGGGATCTCTTTTCGGATGACGATTCTTCCAACCGAGTTACTAGAGACCTTTTGTATAGGTATCTTAATATTTCTGTAGGTATTAAGGTATGTGTAGTGTAACTAATATACGTAATAATTCGCGGAAAAAATAATTGTAATGTCCTTTTGGATTTATTGGTAAAAAAGATATTTTTTCTTGTTAACAACAATTGTCACTTTATATAAATGGAATAAGATTGATATTTGGATATCATTAGAAAAGTAATCAAAGTGTCTTTCACCATATTAAAACACCAACTCTTAAAATTCTAGTGTTGCTGTATTATGACACTTAATCTTCTCGTTTTAAGGTTTATTTCATGTGCTAGATATTTTTTACTTTATAGTTTTCGTTGCATTGTACTTCCTACGTTCAATTATTAGTTTTAATTTAATATTATAAGTTTTGGTTTTCTGTATGTGGCTGAATAGTCATTTATGTTAGTTTTGGTTAGGATTTAAATTGTCGATGTAGATTAGGGGGCATTATTAATATTATTTTAAAGCTATAAATAGTGTACATATTGAAGTTCGATTTCTTTTCATTATCCACCAGTTACAACATACAGATCTAATCTATCAAATTCTTAGTAAACAATACAATACAGGTTGTTTCCTACATTTAGTAATATATATTTAATAATGCTATTATTATTTTAAATTTCGTGCAATATTATACGAACGTTTCACTAATAAAAAATAATGGTATTATTTACTTCGTGTTATTAAATGTGTCTTTAGGAAATTTATACGACAAAAAAAAAGTATGTGCACCATTTAAGTTAAATAATTTATAAGCCTAATACTTTGCTTTTGCATAATACAGTTAATGACATGTCGCTAACACCTGATATAGATTGTATTTTAATAATTATGCTATTATATATTAAACATATTGTCGGCAATCCGCCTTATTATGATTTTATTAAAACTATAATATATTTTTTATAGTTGTTACCAATTAATAAGTTTCGATTAATAAACTAATGATGGTTTGTTTAGTTATTAAAGATTTTCTAATCCAACTAATTTTAGATTTGGTCTCGAAAGTCACAAATTAAAAACCTATGGTGATTTATGTTGGTAACCACGTTTTAGTTGAGTCTCTATTTTTAATTCCAAATGAATTCCAGGGACAATATTATAATGACAAATTGTAATAGGATACAGATTTAATCTGACCATGGTTACCGGCATATATTTCAAGACTTACGGGAAACTTAGAACTTTAGATTTTTTATGTATTTTTTTATTATAAAAAAGCAGGGCTTGTGTTTGTGAGCTTATTATTAAGTTCTTATATTATTACACTTATAATTATAAATAAATTAACTTGTGAGTTTATGATATGACAAATATTTAATTTAATTATGTTATTGAACCAATTATTTTTTTAAATTAGGTTTTTCGGATAAAATATGTTCTGTTTATTTATTTTCGAAATAAAAAAAATCCTTTACGCTATAGTGATTGAATAGTTTTCTATTTTCGTTTAGGTGTATAAGTAAATATGATTGTATAAAGTCACACAAACGACAGGGCTGAACATTTTGCCTGTCTTACCAGTTCGACATTTTCTTTTTTTTTTTAATAGTGGCTACTCATAGTATTTACTTAACTGACATCGATGTTTAGCTGATTATGCTACAATCCAATTTTGTTATCATTTGTATATCATGGAATTGTCTAATAATAATATTATTCTTCTAATTATCTGTTATTAATTCAGAAAGCTATTGACGGGTCACTATTTTGAAAGAAAATGGCGAACCGGCCTAGGTTCCATGCTGAAATATGGTAACCTTATTTCAAATACTATTTACAACCGATGAGAATCCACCTCAAATAGTGTTATTATTATAAGGGTTCATAAAGACAGACTGCATTACAGTGGCGTACTCCACAAATGGGTTTTAAGATGTTGACATTGTGATAATTTATCGAATTAGTGGTTTTGGAAAGTTCTTATTAGCAAAGAAGGCTGGTCATGTTTCAGTCTACGACTGGAACCAATAATGAACCTTCTCAGTTTGCAACTATAATATTAGGGACATTACATATAAATTTTCATAGTCAGGTTTCATACTAAAATATTTTCGAGTGTCACGGCATCCTACATTGTATAGGATTTTGTGTTTTAATAAAATAAAAGTGTAAAAACCAAGTTTTTCTGATTATTTACTCTTAATATAAGTAAATACTTCGTATCGAGTGATTTTCGATATTAATATGGTTCAAATAGCCGGACACCGTTTACGCGGACGCCGGACGCGCAATCAATAAGCCTATGATGGGCTTTTTTATCCTGGCAACCCTATACGCGCCGTATTTTACACATTAATAATAAAAGATTGGTTACAAATTTTAATAATACGTCTATTTTCATTTAGCAGTTCGTCTGGACTTTTAGTGCATAATATATATTTATGCAGTCTGTCTATGTGAATAATTAGTTTAGTTGTAAGTAAGATCGATATTCCAATCGTTATAGTGCCCAACACCTTATTTATTAAACGTTGAATTTTTTATTCATTTATTTATTTTATTGTGTCGTGGCTT